ACCACCACCACCACCACCACCACCGCCACCGCCAACGCTACCATCGTCGTCAGCATGGACGCTTCAAGGGGTCAGACGGTGCGCGTTCGCCGCAACGAGCAGCAGCAGCAGCAGCATGCCGTCCCTCCTCCTCAACACGACCTAGCGCACGCCGACGACAATGATGACCACCGCAAGTATCGCTCGAATCTGCACGCCGTGTCGCCAAAGGTGCACGCCCATCCCGCCGACACGCCGATCGCAGTCGCGCTGTTCGTGCTCGCTGCCGCTCTGCGCTTCTACAGCATCTCGTTCCCAGACCAGGTCGTATTCGACGAGGTCCACTTTGGCAAGTTCGCCGCCTACTACCTCCGCCGCGAGTTCCACTTTGACGTCCATCCGCCGCTCGCCAAGCTCATCAACGCCTTGGCCGGCCACATCGCCGGCTTCGACGGTCACTTTGAGTTCGACCAGATCGGCGACAAGTACCTCGAGAACAACGTGCCCTACATCCGCATGCGCGCACTCCCCGCCATCATCGGCAGCCTCCAAGTGCCGCTCATCTACGCCATCATGCGCCACAGCGGCTACGCACCCATCATCGGTGTCTTTAGCGCAGCGCTCCTCCTCTTCGACAACGCACACATCGCACAGGACCGCCTCATCCTCCTCGACGCCCCGCTCATCCTCTTCATGATGCTCAGCCTCTACTCCTACATCCGCTTCTACAAGCTCCGCTACAACGAATTCTCGCTCGCATGGTGGTCCTGGCTCCTCGCAACCGGCCTCAACCTCGCCCTCACAATGAGCTGCAAGATGGTCGGCCTCTTCACCTTCTTCACCATCGGCGCCGCCGTCCTGTGCGACCTCTGGAAGCTGCTCGACATCCGCCGCGGCCTCGACATGGACCACGTCGTACGCCACTTTTTCGCGCGCTTCTTTGCGCTCATCATCTTCCCCTTTGGCGTCTACCTCTTCTGGTTCTGGGTCCACTTTGCCATCCTCATCAAGAGCGGTCCCGGCGACGTCTTTATGAGCTCGCAGTTCCAGCAGACGCTCCAGGGCAACCCCATGCTCAGCAACGCACGCGACATCCAGTACCACGACCACATCACCCTCCAGCACAAAAATACGAAGGCCTTCTTGCACTCGCACCTCGAGCGATACCCGCTCAAGTACGACGACGGGCGCATCTCGAGCCAGGGTCAGCAGGTCACCGGCTATCCGCACAACGACACCAACAACGTCTGGCAGATCATCCCCACACGGCCCATCCCGGACGACCAAGCCGACGGCCGCGTGGTCAAGCACAAGGACCACATCCGTCTGCTCCACGTCAACACCAACTCCTATCTGCTCACCCACGACGTCGCCTCGCCGCTCATGGCCACCAACGAGGAATTCACCACCACGCCCGCCAACGACACGTCGCGCTACGACGACACGCTCTTCGAGTTCCAGCTGGACGAGTCCGACCTGCCGGACAAGAGCTGGAAGAGCAAGGCGTCCTGGTTCCGCCTCATCCACGTCAACACGCGCGTCTGCATGTGGACCCACCCCGAGCCGCTCCCCGACTGGGGCTTCAAGCAGCAAGAAGTCAACGGCAACAAAAACGCCATGGACAAGACGTGCCTGTGGTACGTCGACGACCTCGTCCCTTCGCCCTCCAGCCCCGACTACGAAGAGAGGCTCAAGCCGCTGCCTCCACGAAAGGTGGTGCGCATGAGCTTCTTGAAAAAGTGGCTCGAATTGCAGCTGCAGATGCTCCAGCAAAACGCCGGTTTGACCCAGAGCCATCCCTACGCAACCGGACCCATCAACTGGCCCTTTTTGCTGCAGGGCATTTCCTTCTGGACGCAGGATGCGGGGCAGCACCAGATCTATATGATCGGCAACCTGGTTTCGTGGTGGGGCACCATCCTCAGCATCTCCATCTTTGCCGGCGTGGTGGGTGCGGATCTGCTGGCTCGTAGGCGTGGCATCTATCCGATCCCCAGTGCCGTGCGCAATCGGCTGCACAAGTCGGCGGGATTCTTTGTGGCCGCTTGGGCGTGCCACTATGTGCCCTTCTTCCTCATGTCGCGTCAGTTGTTCATCCACCACTATCTGCCGGCGCACGTCTGCGCCTGCTTGGTGGCGGGCGCCGTGGTCAACTTTGTCGCCAGCGAGACGGTGCAGTTCCCCATCTCCCCGCCTGGTCCTCTGCTGCGCGTGCACGACTACAGGGCAAGGATGGACAATGTCGTTCCCAAACAGGCGCGTGCGGTCATGGCCGTCATCATGGCCGCTCTCATCGTCTGCTTCTGGTGGCTCAGCCCGCTCACGTACGGCACGCCCGGTCTCACCACCGCCGAGGTCCATGCCAGGAGACTGCTCTCCTCGTGGACGTTGCATTTTGCAAAGTAGGCCACCCAACCGCATCCGCACAACTTGATCCCGGAATCCCAAAACAATCTGGTTTCGCATCAACATTGAACGTGGGGGGATCACTCTAACCTCTCGTCACCATCGCCCTCGCGGATGGTGGTAAAGTTGAGCGTTTCGACGTTGGCGCGGCCCTTGATTTCGGCCTCGACGAGCTCGTTGATGGCCTTGAGCGCGCCCGGGTCGATAAAGGCGACCAGCTCCCAATCCTCGCCCCAGTCTTCGTCGTCGATGGCGTGGGTGAGCGCGAGGATCTTGGGCTTGAGCTTCTTGCCGTCCTTGGCGGGCATGGTGATGCGGATGCGCATGCGTGCACGCTCGATCGGCATCGTCTTCTTCTCCTGCAGCAGCCGAATCACGTCGAGTGCCTGCTGCTTGGCGCTTCGGCCCGTCTTGACCGAGTAGTGGACGTCGTGCATTGCCTTTTCGATCATGCCCACCGTATAGGGTCTCTGGCTTCCGGGGTCTACGCACTTTTCGGCCACCTGCGTCGCAATGTCCCTCCAGGTGTTGGCGAGCTCATGCTGTCGCTCCTTCTCGCCCACCTGCAGCTCGCCCTTCTTGAGGATCTCTTGCAAGATCTTTGCGGTGTCGGTGGTACCAAACGCCTTTTGCAGGTCGTCCGAGGGGGCTACCTGACCTTTGGATACGTTGAGAAAGACGTTTTCGATCTGCACCACCTCGTCCAGGTCGGTCTCGACGCCCGTGCGCCACTCGCGCACTTTATTCTTGTAGCATGCGATCTCGAAGCGCTTGCCGCCCTTGCGCAGGCGCACGATGGAGACGTTGGTGAGTTTGATCTGGTTTGCCGGCTGGAACACGGGCATGTTGCGAACGACAAAGGGAGAGGGGGGGGGG